CAGCCAATCCGTGAGGGATTTGTGATATCCTTCCTAACATCGCACCTGTGGGGCAACACCTGGAAGATAAATCTCCTTCTGAAAAAACAAATCCAGAAATATGTCAAGATGATCATCATGGACTCACATCGGAAGCAAGTGGTTTGCCACCTTGAGTGGCAACCTTCGTCGTTGCGATGTAAACAAGTCTCAAAACATGGGGACCAGCAAAACGATTGGCTTCCTTTTGGTCTCCGAAGATTAAAAGGAGGCTACGGATCTTGACACCTAAATGACGTCCAACCAAAGGGTCCAACCACTTCCAACCAGGAGCGTCCTAGAAAATTTGAATCCATACTGATCCCCCGACAACTCATCAGAAAAAATGGTCCCCAAAACGAAACAAAACAAAATCCACTTCAAGGCGCTTGACTTCCTTGTGGCAGGGGCTCCTCAGTTTCCTTTTTTTGCGCCTCCGAAAGTGACAACTTCACCAGTAAAATGCCGATTGAAGGAGAAATCCCGTGCTTCCTGTTCGGTAATCGACCCGGTTCCCTGCAAATAAAGTATCCACAGCGACGCTTCCGCGATTTCGCCAGACCTCCCCCGCGGGGGTGAAGCTTGTGGCCAAGTTCTTCCATGGCAGACAGTGGGGAATGACCATGCCGGCATCCGCCGAGACCCTAACGCCGGAGGGGTTTTCGGCTCCAGTTTTCGGGTCCTCTAAACTAGGTCCCCCAGTGGGAGGGTTCCCCTAAGATAGACTACAGAGGAAAGTTGGTACCTGGAGGACCTAGCTAAATGTATATGGTTCTTGCCTTTTGGTCTCCCGTGAAGTTCCAAGGGGTCGGCCGTTTTGAGAATCTCCCGGATGAAGCCACTTCCAATTCGGTCTTTGTGACCGAATCGCCCCTTCTCAGACCGAGAGTCAGGATTCCGGCCATCGATTTAATGTGTTGTCCACTTGTCAAGAATCCGTTTTTGACATATCAGAAATGCCCCTGTTCGGGTGTCCGAGTCACACACACATGCAGTTGATCCGCGAATCATCCGAGCCTGGGTGTCTCAGCATGCCTAAGTCCCCGGTCATGTGCAACAGTCCTGTTGTGCAATGCCCCGGTCGATGCGGATTGTGAGAAGCTGTGATCTTCCATTTGCTTAAGAATGTGCTTGATTTTCCCCTGTTGGTTTTAAAGGGAATCTATCACTACTGGAAATATGTTTGTTTCTTCCAGGAGTCTTAACCAGCTCGCTGCCCAATGGAGCGCTTGGCCCAGGTGAGCTTTGCAGTGACGCAGGGGCTTGACGAGGCACGGACTGCCTTGTTTGTCCGTTTGTGCGCGTGTGAGAATCCCGTGGACCTGTTTGCCTGCCTTTTTGCTTGACTTGAGCTTTGGTTGCTACCTGGAGGTTTCCGAATGTCCGATTGCTAGGTGCTGCGGAAGTACCCTTTGCAGGCTGGACACTCGAGTCGCTGAGGCGTATGCTGCATTCTCATTCCCAGAGGCTGAGGTGGTATCATGTCCACGTAGCTACCCACGCGCAAACCAGTTCTTCTCTCTTTGGTCACTCGCAACAAGCAGGGGTGTTCCCCTTTTCCCTACTTTGGTGCTTTGCTGGTTCAAATAGACATGTCCAATGTGAGATACAACTGTTGGCACCTCTCGCAGGAGTACTCTCGGGAGATCAAGATGCGCAAGGCGTTTTGTCCGACATGGATTGGTCATTCGGTGACTTTTGTGCAAGGAACCTTGGGTCTGGATTGCTGGAGCAACTGAGCCACGTGCTCAAAACCGATTCGGGTAGATGATCCGGTTAGTAAGGGGCAGTCCCAGCCGGAAATAGTTGCGGCCGCCTTTCTACTTCTTTACATGATTCTGGGTTCACCATTTTTCTACCATTTTGATTGTGACTCAACTGGAGACGGCGAACGCCGAAGTCTGTCAAAACAGCACAAGTTCCAATTGCTGCGAATGTTCGAGAGCTAGATGCTGGGAATTCGAGGTCCAATCAAGGAGGGCTTAACAAATATGGGCGCTCCCACCTCAAAGATGTCACCTGCGTCATAAATGCCCAAACCTATGTGTGTGTGTGTGTGTCTTCTTTGAGGCAACCCTTTTTGTGGTTGCTTTTAAGCGAAACCAAAAGGACAACCCACCCAAGGGGTCAACAAGACATCCATACGCTTTTGCGCCCTCGATGCCGCTTCAGGCGGAGCCACTGCAGGCCAGGGGTACGTCCGTGGCATTTCTCTTCACCTGAAAAACATCCTAGAGAGGCAGACTGGGGTAGACTTAGGATACATTTTACATTTTACCAGTGACTCCATGTGAAGCAAACAATAAGATATACATTCTATAACTGGGCCTGACTCTAATCATGGAGACACCACATGTGTGCTTGGCCCACATTTGAGAGTCAGATCGTTGGTTTGAACTCGATTGAAACGGCGACGAGATGCACCCTTGACTGGTGGCATTGCTGTTCGGGGGGCTCTGTTTTTCCGACCCCAACGTGTTATTGTTGGGCCCCAGAGACCAAAAAGACGGAATGGAGTCCACAAAGCACCTCATGCTTCCTTTCCTTTGGGTTTTTCTCTAGGACAGCGCGGCACGGCAGGTAACCCTTAAGTCGGTGGACGTGCAGGCGACTTCGGAGGTTAGCACAGAGGCAAGTTGGGCGGTGTCGTTCTTTTTTGTTTTTTTCTCTGAGAGACAAAAAGGGAATGCCAATGAAGGTGGAGCGCCCAGATATGGGACATTGAGTGTTTCTCACATGGCCATGGGTCAAAAGCCCGAACATCCCAATCCCCACTAAAATAGGTACTAAAATGGGTGGCGAATTCACCTACCCCAAAAAGGGATCCCAAAACGGTTTTGACAACCACAGCCGGCAATGTGCCTGGCATGGCGTATGCAAGGATGCAAGGATTGCTCGCTGCTGTCTGTGGTTGCCCTCGGATCAAATCCGCCTGCTTCTTTCTGTGGCCCAGGCGGGCGACGAGGCTGAATCCGACGGCAACCTTTGTGGAGGCAGTTTGACGATGTTTGACGCGGCCAAAGTCGTTTGAAGGGGCGCCCCATAAGCGCCATAAGGCTTTCTTTTTGGGGGGAAGCAAATCGCCGGGGGGACCTTTGGGAGAAAGTGAGAGTTCTACATGTTCCATGCGGAAAAAGTGTAACCAGGAACACCTGCAACATTGTTTGGTAGGACACACACACACAGAAACACATCAGCCACCAGCTAGTGTTCTTTTTTGGCAGCGGGAGAAGCTCGGGTAGGATGGCTGGTTGGCCGTGCTTATGGTTGCTGTCACTGCCAGCTCTGTAGTTGCACAGGGGCCATGCTTGTATCTGGCTACAATCTGCCCCCACACGCCTGCTTGCTTATGGCTGGGCTCCTGCCTGCTGCTTGCCTCTGAGCAGGGCCTTTTAGGTGCAAGAGCTGCTCCATCGCGAAAATCGAAGTCGGCCCCCCTAAGATCAAAACGTGCCTTTCCCAAAATGTCAATTTTTGGGGGGCCCTGTTCATATCAAGACCGAAATCCACCCTTTCCAGACCTTGATAGCAAGATGAAGAGACTTTGTCAATCTTCCTTGCAACCGCTACCAGAGGAATCCGGTTACCAAGAGTTTGGCCTTCCTGGCAGTGTTATGCGTAGCGCAAAAACACAAGTTAAACGGATTTGGCAACCAAGAAAGTACAGCAATCCCAAAATCTCCAAAAGATGACCCAAACGAGAGGTAAGCAACAGAAGCAAACAATTGTTCTTTTCATCTCTCATTCGGCTTGTCCATTTCATCTCTCATTCGGCACATCGCGAGCTGCAGTTTGTCCTTGTCAGGACCAGGCAGTATATGTGAGATGGCATCGGCATGGGTTGCACCTGTGGCGTGCCATGAATAAGCTGAGAACTTGTTTCTGCGGGGCGGCGTGTGAAAGGCTGCCCCGACTGAGTTCGCACAAACATTTCGACCCACCCGGGTCCGGCCCCAGCCAGCCGCTAAGGGATCAGTGCGGTTTTCTCGCAGAGTTTCACGCCAATGGGCAGGGGCGATCCATGGACTGTGACAGTTCAAAGTTGCGAAGAGGAGTTTTGAAATCCACAGTCCCTGATTCCACCTTTGGCCAAGCCCGGCGACTTGCCCTTTGGCTCGAAGCACTGAGGATTTCAAGCGGCTGGACATCAGAGGGCTTTGTAGAACCTGAGTTGAGTTGAGTTGCTTGCAGTGCTGCAGCAATGCAAATGTGTACCAGCATCTGGCTCCTTCCTTGCCACGGGTAGCATGAAGAATGCCACCCTGGCGTGTTCCAGAGTGCTTGCCTGGGCATGACACAACAGTCTGGCTCGGGCTGACTGCTTGAATTCACCGCATTTTCCTCCGAGCATTTTCGTGCTCCACGCTTTGCAGCCGTGGACCAGAGAATGGCGGGCTACTTCCGGCCATTCCTGTACAGGGCGGTTTGAATTGACCACGATCTGCGAGGATCATCTGGGAGGCAAAAAGGATCCGAGTGGTTCTCGAAATGGCGGAAACGCCAACCCTTTCGGTTGGGACAAGGATCCAAAACGAAACCAACCCTGTCCGACACGAACCCTTGACAACTTTGAGCCTCCAGATGGAAGCTAGTCACTCCGGGAGAGGCATTGGCGAGATTGACCAAAGGGCCCAGAGAGGTTCTCACTGCGAGGCTTGGTCAGAATTCGTCCAGTCCATCGCCCCTGACTCATTTAAGAGGGACCTGCTCACGAAAAAAAAACCCAAAGCCAAGAGACCCACTCATTCTCACCGCGTCCTTTAGGCGTTTCATGGACATTCCTTGGGCCCGTTCATATGGCTCAGAGCGTCAACCAAAAGGCCGCGTCACTTGTTACGTGCCAGCCGTGAGCGCGCAGTTATCCGTTGTGTTTTCTTTTTCTCCAAGCAATCCTCAGCCGCGTGGCTGCTCTTCTCCCAAATTGGCGAGCGAACAAGTATGACTTTTCCGCATGGCGTGAAACATCCCAAGAGGTCGTCATGTCTTTGGTGGTCGGTATAGGTCTTCCGACAAACAAGTTCGCCATGGAGAGATCTTCCGAAGCTGCGAGCAAGCGGCCCTTGCTGGAGGATGACGCACAGGACGTCGTCTTAGCTTGGCCAAGCAAGGGGCTTGTCAGAGGGCACCAGAATTTGATAGGATGCTCGTATGGAAGACATTCCACAATTGCATGTTGATGCATGTGTGTGTGTGTGTGTGTTGTGTGTTGTGTGTTGTGTGTTGTGTTGTGTTGTATTGTGTTGTGCTGTGCTGTGCTGTGCTGTGCTGTGCTGTGTTGTGTTGTGTTGTGTTGTGTTGTGTGTATGTGTGTGTGTTTTCATCTTACGAAAGCAGAGTTAGTGCCATGGCAAGTTGAATAGACGAATCTCCTGCGTTTCGTTTTGCCAATGTACCAGCTGAGCAGTACGTGCTTTGCAGTAATCCCCTTCATTCTGGCCATGCAACGTGGGACCAGCATCCATTGTGAATCTAGAGTGGACAGAGTGAGAGAGAGAGAGAGAGCGAGAAGGAAAAAGCAAATCGCAAAATGCAAGAGCAAAGTAGATATAAGCATGTTGAGATTGCCCCCTTTTTGAACATCCTGGGCACATATTCACCCAAGAAGTCTCTGAGATTCCGAAGGTCTTGCCAGCTGCCTTCTGTGCCGCGTGCGGGGAGGGGCAAACTTGTCAGAGAACGTAGCACCATCGTCACCAGCAGCAGCTGCAGCATTATCACAGTTTGAAGAGCGCTGACGCAAAGCGCAACAAAGCAAGTGCAAGAAGTCGTCGCCAACCTCACCGTCATGTTCACCAGCAGCTGCAGCATTATCACCATCGTCGTCGTAGTCGTCATCCTGTCGCTGGGCTTCTGCGAGCCACAGTGACCTTGAGTGACAAACGGCCAGCCAGTGCAGGCAAATGTCTGGCACCTTTGCTATGTTTCACACCTGGGGCAGACTTACATTTGACATTTTACCAGTGACTCCATGTGAAGCAAACAATAAAATATACATTCTATAACTGGGCCTGACTCTAATTAATACACGGGCAGTTCAGCTTGCGTTCAAATGATATTCACTCATTCAACCGCTACGTAGTGACATCCTCAACTCCATACTAAAGGAATTGCGGGTGCATGGCAAATGGGAGTCCCGTGACAACCTTCCGGACATGCCCATGTATTGACAGAAATTTCTCTAGATTCTCGGATGTTGGGTCACTTTTTTGATGCAGTCGCTGGATCAGGGGTTTGCTTGCATCACAGAAACATTGGAGGAGATTGACGGATGATTCCAATCTGTGCTTTGTGTTGTGGAATGAGAGGGGGCAGTGGTCAATGAAACCCGACTGCTTGGGCACAGGGCTCAACTGCCAGCTTGAGAGTTGCTTTGGAATCCAAAAGCCGACGTTGATGTCAACCAGCCCTGACCGTTCCTTCGTTTTCATGCGATGATACCAGGAGACAAGCTCCGCGCCTCGAGCCAGACCAGGCAAGGGCGAGTTGCCGATTCTCGTGCAAGCGACGTCGGATGTGTTCAGTTGCGGGTGGCCGACCTTCCCACGGAAGGCTCCCCTGTGTCGGCAACTGCAGCTTGTGGGGGCAAGCAACTGCAACTGTCTGAATAACATGGGAGTGGCTCAAGCTAGGCTTGCACGATTTTAGTCTTTGGCTCCATCTACCAAGGTGCCATTTTGGTACATTGAGCCACAGCCAAAGGCTGCTAAGCTGAGAGGGTTCGAGATGAGATGGGGTGCCCTTCGCGAAGAACACTTTTTTGATTCTCTCACATCGAGCACACTGTTTCAGCCGAATCTGACGACTTGGCGTATCCCAAAAAAGGCTGAGGTGTTTCTCGCTTGTGGCTGAGGTGTTTTTCGGTGTTTGGCTGGGAACGGTTGCATCGATTCGACTTGGGAGCCACCTTGGGAGCCACCGCGCGAGACCGAAAGCAGATGCAAAGGTATAGGATCAAAGGCCCCAAAAAAATGGTTAAACCGCACCAGTCACACCTCTGGCTGTTCAACCTGCGGACACGCTAAGTGGTTTCAAGGTTCCAAGTGCACCAGGGCCGTGTTCTGCCCCGAAAAAGCAGCCTGGCCGGCATTGCCCGCAATTGCAAGAAACGGTACGACCCTGTAAATATATATATATATATATATATATACATATATATATATATATATGTGTGTGTGTGTGTGTGTTTGTGCATGGTTCCCATGAGAGCAATGAGCTGCATGCAGCCTTTTCGAAACGCATGTTATTCACGGTGTGCATCCGCGAGGCCAATCCAGCAACGATGACGAGAGCTACTCACTTTTGCAGGCGGACAGCGGCACATGCTGTACATGGCCTTGCCTTGCCGTGTTCTGCCAGGCAGCAGGCAATTAGAAGGGTCAAGAGTCAAGTTTGTGAGCCAGACTTTGGATTGTTTCACGGTTGTTTTGCAGATGTTTCATCATGTTGGGCAGCTAATAGCAGCTGGCTGTGGGTCAAAACCAATGGTACCATTTTGGGGTAGGTGAATTCACCACCCGTTTTAGTCTATTTTAGTGGTTGGATTGGGATGTTCACTGGGGGTACGATTTGGATTTTGACAACCATGGCCAGCTAACAGCAAGATGCTGGAGTTCCAATGACGGAAGAGGACTTCAGCTCTCGCTTCCCCTTAGGACGGTGCCCCGGAGCGAAGTCCTCAAGGAGGCGGATTTGTGAGACGCTGGAGTCGGATAGGGGATCCCCTTGTTAAGTACCTGGAGTCGAATGCACGGAGGGGTTGGCGACCTTTGCTTCCTGTTGGCTGTTGCCACTGCCCTTTAAAGGGAACTTGCAGCGAGGTGAGGGGGCGCACAAAAACATTTGATTCTTGGAGGATGTGATGCACCAATGTGTTTTTTCTGTCGTTGGAAGTACCTGATAGGGTCTGCGGAGCTCATCTTAGATGAGGCTGTGCTCCCTCTCTTCCAAAAACGGCCCGGGACCTGATTCGATGTTCTTTAGACACGGACCTTTCCCTGGCCTTGACCTGGCCTCCGGCCGGACTGCCAGGAGAGTCGGGCGGGGTGCTGGAACTGCTACGAGAGGCGACGCCCAATTCCGAGAGAAGAGAGGCTTCAGCTGTTTGATTGGATTAGATGTGTTGGGCGTCGAGGCTGTACGTCGGGCGATGGCATAAATGGAGAACCCACCGGTAGTTTGTAATTTGTCCTGGGCCAATCAGCCGCTCAATGCAACTTCACACGTTGCAATGACAAAGCTGGCCGGGGCTCAGCGGATTTCAAGAAGCTGAGCCTTTCACAGGAGAGATCAACATAGAGCCCCGCACCGCTGTGAATAAAATGTTCATGAGCTCAGCCTGAGAGCTGACAGATCGCTTGTGTCCATTTCTGACATGCGTATACCAGATGTTGGCACGCATGTTACTGGAGCACCGTAGCAAAAGCAAGTGCTTGCACCCCGCACTTGGGACGGGGGCCCGCCTGTTCTTGGAGCAGGTGTTTTTTTTTGCTTCGGGCACGTAAACCAACACGCAAGACGTGGCTCCGGTCACGAAGCCAGGGTTTGGGGCTTGGAGAAAGGCGATCCGGCGCCGTTTCTTTTTATGGCACAAGTCTTTGAGCCCAGGAGACCCGGCCGGAGGGACGGATAGAGAGGGGCCCCGAGCCCGGCACCAAGTCGCTGCAGGTGCTTTTCAAGGGAAACCAAGAGAAACCCAGCAATTCAATTGTTTCTTTGGTGCATTTTGCTTGGATGTTAGGACTTTTTTTTTGCCAACCAATGGGTTGTCCATTAAATCACTAAAGTTAAACTTTTAGCAGGGGAGCAGAAAGCAACCGAGGTTTGGGTGCTCCGTCCTTGGAACAAAGCCAGTGAGGGCATCTTGGACTTGGCAGTTTCAGGGGTTCCTATCCTTCTTTTTTTTGGGTGGTTTGAATCATCGCCTGTTTGGGCCACTTCATGCTGGGAAATCGCTCGGCACATGGGACTCAAGGAGACGCGAGGCCGACTTTGATTCAACCAGTGTTGCTTTCTTAAACATGATTGAATCCATTTGCCCCCGGACCCTGCAGGTGGTAGCACTTAACATCAGTGCAAGAAAGGTTGGAATTCGAGTGTGGTGTTTTCCCCAAGATATATGGCTGCTGATCGAACATGATAGTGTTGGCCTGAACAATTTGCCTGATAGAACCCCGGACCGAAGAATCAAGAACAAGGTAACTCTTGTAAGGCAACCTTGCTCGAAAAATGTATGCCCCGCATCAACGTGCAGGATTGGTCAAAACTGGTTTGCTTTCAGTTGTGCAGCGCAAAACTCGCAATTTCAGTAGGTGGTTCTACTTTGGGGTCGGCGTCACTCTTTGTGGGGGGGTTCGATCTCGCGCAAGCGAATCTGTGGTGCAAAAACCAATAACCTTCACAGGCTAGCAAGAGCTATAAAAACATGGCTGGTCCAAAACTTAGGTATACCCAAACTGGGTTGCTCTGGTAAAATTGGCAAGGACTAAACCTAGTGGAAGGCGATTTTGAAAAACACCTGCGGCGTGTTTTTGTTTGTTGTTTAAGAAAGAAGAACAAAAACAAAAGCCAGTCGTTTCCCCTGGGGTTCTGATGGTTTTTTGGAAAGAAGGATCCCTGGAAAGAATGGGGAAGTGTCCCCTAGAAAAGCACGTTGTTTGACCCACCGCATGTCTAGCTAACCATAGGTTTCAAACGGTGCCGGACCGCATTGCCAAAATGAGAAAGGCGCCGGGAGAAGGAGTCGGTGATCATCGAGATGCAGAGCATGGACCTGGAGGAGCTCCCATGAAAGATTTGTCCTACAAAAAACAAGGTGAGTTTGATCAAGGGCGTTCTTCGAAGAAGCAACCAACAGGATACCATCAAAGAACAGCCAGCCATTTGGGTGTATTCGAATTGAGACAGGCGAGCCATGGTGAGTGTTTTTTGACGTGGAGTTTTTTTTTGGTTGGTAAAAATTCCAATAAGAGACCAACAATCGAGACAGCCAGCGCGAGCTTCGATTTCTGTTTCTCAGCGATGTTTCAGCGACACAACCAGCGCTTTGTCCTGGCACCGAAAAACGAAAACCAGGTCACGACATGGGCTCGCTTGGGTGTGGCTCAAACTTAAGCAACTGGGCTTACCCAGGTTTTCGTCTTTCCATTTGCCAAGCTGCCATTTTGGTGGCCTTTTTGTTGACCCACAGCCAAATGGAACCGGGGAACGTCCTTTTGATGGCTCCGAACATCCAAAAAGAAAAAACAGAATGGAGATGCGGGGTTAATCAATCTTCCATGGGTTACTTAAAAAAAATAAAAAAAAAAATATGTTGTTCTGAGTTTGTGGCGTGAGCTCACCCACAATGTGGGGGTATGAGCGAAGCCGTGGAAAAGCCGGTCTTTGAGAATTCGGATCAAAATGATTCAGCTGTTGGGAGTATGGTGAAACAATGCAGATCAAAAGGTCGGATACACACATGGTTGTTGTTGGGAAACATTTTGCGCGTTTGCTTATTGTGGTTTAGTGGAAATTCCCCACTTAACCGCAAAAAATATATGTTTGCTCCCCTTCCAACGTCAAACAAGTACATGGGATGGACCATTGGGAAAACCCACTGAGATGATATGTCCCACATTGGGAAAAGTGAGCCATGGTCAGAACTGAGGGCCAGGGGTATTGGTCAACCCCCATGTGTAACTACCAAAAAGCATCCAACAAGGCTAAGGGACCTGGAAGAAAACAAAGGCCCTCTAACAAGCCACTAAACGTGTAGGAAAGCGGCAATCGCATAAGCAATAGATTGCCAAGGCCTCAGAGAATACAAAGCATTCCCACGCAAAGAACATGGAAGCGCGCACTGCCTTTTGCACTGACTTTTGCGAGGCGAATATTGGATAGTTGGGCCGACTCCTAGGGTATTTGTTTGCGAGGAGTGTCTTGAAATGGCGACACGGTGTTCCAAGCTTTTTGAGTCCGATTCTCGACCCAAAACTGGGAAGGGTGTTTGATTCAAAGGCCTACTTGGAAACATCGATTTAATGGAGCCACCAAAGCCCATACCCTCCTCCCAATTTCCGTGGAACCTGACGTTCAAGGAATTCTGGAGGCCCATTTTCCTTTTAGAGGGACGGTCCCTGTCAGGCTCCTTGTGGCCATGGGTCAAAATCCCGTACCCCCAGTGAACATCGCAATCCCCACTAAAAAAGGTTCTAAAATTGGTGGTGAATTCACCTACCTAAAACGGTTTTGACCACCACAGCCATGTAAAAACCAGCGGGCGGGTTCTTAACTCGGGCCCCGAGAGAAAAATAACAACACAAAACGTCAGGACCAGTCCAGGGAGCCCCTGCCAGTGGCCTGCGCCCAAAAGATCACCGAAAAAAGGGGCGGTGCGTGTCCCTGCGTTGTGGAAGGAAGCCAGGTTGTTCTGGGGTCATTCTTTTGACTGTTTCTAGTTTTCTGGGGCTTATCAAAGTCAGAAAATGGATTCGGTTGTTTCCCTTTCACCCACCACTTAGGGGGTGACTTTGATCATGGCAAAACAATGAGGCCAGTTTTTTTTTGACACCGATCTCCAGTACGTATGGTCCATTAGGTTTACTGTCACAATTCTCGCAGAACCGAACGGCAACAGATCCAGATTTTGTTGGGGCGCTCGTCTCTCGGCAATCCTTTCATTCGCATGCCGTGGAGCGGAACTGGGTCCAGGTTGCTTAGGCCACTCTGTAGGATTGCTTACCTACACAACGCAACAGGTGGCTTTTTGTTTTGGGCACAGGCACCGACCATAAGCGGCACGGGTCGCAAGAGGTGGTTGGGACCAATCCATGCGAAGGATCCCACGCGCATGTAGATTTCCGCTGGCCTTGCGCAAGTTGTTTAGTGTTGTGTTTTGTTCAAGGAAGAATTGTGAGTGGAAAGCATGCTGCAGAATGCTGGACCGCTATACCATGCATAAACTTAGCTTAATTCCTATATATATATATAGATATGTATATATTATTTGGGGGGCAAGCTGTAATAAGTCTAATGCGATCAACTGCCATATGCTAGCTGACCAACCATGGCATGTTGTACAATCGCATCCACAACATCGCTCCCGCACGATAGCGTTGAATTGCTGCCCCCACAACACGCAGTGTCCGCGGCTTAGGTCTCCGCTGGGTCCTCCAATCCTGCACGGCAGGGTGATGACAGGCGACGCTCGGTGGCGGGCGCGGTGGCGCAGTCGGTGGCACGGCGCGACTTCTAATTCGAGAGATTCCAACGGAAGGTGTGAGAACACGCTGAGCTGGTATGTTCAACAAGAAATCCGTGATCCTTAGGCCAGGTAGTGGGTTTTTTGCTGTAGTGGTGGGTCGACCCACGGAGAAGGACTAGGGACCTCCCACCCATTTTGAACAACCTGGCAACACAATAGCAAAGCCAAAAGTGATTCTCCGAAAATGTGCAGTGTGTTGCGCAATCCAAGAGTTGATTCATGTGGTGGAAGGCCGCCAGTCAAGTTCTGTGAATGGCTTTTTGGATAGGAGCGCAAGTGCAAGAGGATTGGCAAAGATGGTCCAGTGCAATTCCTGCAGCCAGAAAGTGGTTTGTCCATGCCCTGTGCAGGAACTGCTTCATTTGCTTGCAGGACCTGTGTCTCGTGCTGTCTTGTGTGATGACACCATACTAGTTAGAAGGATCCCATAGAATGATGCCAGGGCAACACCGGCTTGTTACAATAGGTGCAGGAGCTTGGATTAAGCATGAAGACTCACTGGACGAACACCTGTCAAACTTGTCAGGACAGCGACAAAGACAATCCGCTAGTCTCATGCTGCTCCACTTGCTACGCTCGTGCGCTCATGTTCCATCGGCTTTGACCTGTGGCTTTGGCTGCGGAAGGCAAGCATCCAAGAGCGTTGAGGGGGCAAGTCGCCTTGTTGTCAACCGTGCAATGCCATGAGGTACACACAGACGATGTTGGCGAGAGTGGCGCAATAACCAACACCGAACCGCGTTGCGATCCCATTTGCTCGGGTCTGGCTGGCAGATTTTTGTTTGGTTGCTTGAAGGATGTGCAAATTCGCGAGCCAATTTTGCCTCATGGCAAGACTAAGCTTCTGTATTCTGATTTGGGGTTTCTCAACATGGCGGAAAGGTGGTTTTGAAGGGAAGCCAAAAGGGCACCAACCATTCGAGGGGATCAAATCCTTCTGAGAGACCTCATTTGACTGCTCGGAACGACTGGTTGAGAGCGCTAGAGCGTTGCCAGCTTCGCACGGCCAGGCTTCGAATGCAAACCAGCCACATGCTCCGGTGCACCATCTGCAAATCCGGGACGGCCCTCGTGGAAGGGGAAGAGGCGCGCAACTAGCATGCGACAATCGGGACGTTGAGGGCAGAGTTTTGGAGGGTACCCTTCAGGTTGGTTTCAAGGGACACCAAAAGGAAAGCCCAGTTGTTTCAGGGTCCCCCGATTTTGAGATATACCCGGTTGACCCTGTCGAGCAGACCAGTTGAGCTCTGGGTCAAAGCGCTGAGAGGCTTTCTGCTGTTTGTTTCAATCGACATTGAGATGGGGTCCGCAAACTGAGAGACACATTCCCAGTTGGCTAGTTGACTGCTCTGTGGTGGTGGGGGGGGGGGGTTGCGCAAACTGTCACATCACGGTAGGCCCGGACCATGGTTGCACAAACGCCAGTTTCTATGACCTGTGGGACAGGATCACTCAAACTAACATTGGAGCCAGGCGTTTGCGAAGTGTGTTTCCACGTGTGTTTCCGTTGGCTGGCAGAGGGGAGGCCGACAGTTTGTAAGATGTCTAGGCTGAAAATCCTGGTGTCACCTTCAATGCAACCCCGTTGAGGGAGGCGATGTCCTGTCGACAGAACGGCCTGTCCTGGATGAACGAGCTGATGTGCGGAGGGGAGCCGAGTGTGGAGCTTAGAGCATGGGCCTCCAGGTACGAGCAAGTTTCCTCTGAACCCAGCATGCATGGTTGTTGTTGGGAAACATTTTGCATTTTTCCTTATTGTGGTTTAGTGGTTGAAATCCAACCACTCAACTGCTAAAATTTAAATTGTTGCTCCCCTTTCAACGTTAACCAAGCATAGGCGACGCTGTGAGATGTGCTTCTTGCATAGCGGGTATGCGTGGTGCTCGATGACTCGGTTCTCGGTGAGGTGCATCTGTGCTTCACAAATTGGAAGATGGTGGTGAGTGCTGATGAGTATGCATCAAGCCAAATGACACGGAATTCGTCATGAAAATGGGTGGCCAATTAATTCCGTGGACCATCTTGTTTAATCATAATTATGCAAAGGACCTTTCAAGTTGCTGCATTCCTTGTGAATTCCTTTTTGGCCATCACCACCCATAAATCGTACCGTGAAGACAGCAAACCAGGCACCGGCACACACCAAAGCATAGACAACACAGAGACTTTTATAATACATACACATGTGGCATGCACGCATCTATGAAATACACAGCAAATGCACATGCGCACACGCACACACACATACACAGACACAAAGACAAAGGCGCGGCAAGGAACGCAAAGGCATGAAGCACAAGACACATCACCCACACATAAGACCAAGAGCACCAAGATCGTACAGAACCAGTCAAGACGCACGGCGCGCAGACACGCGCACAGCGATATGCACACGGCACACACACACACACGCACACACAGACACGCACAAACAAGATTCAACTCCCACACACGAACGCGCTCACACACACACACAAACGCATCTCACAAAGAGAGAGAGAGAGAGAGAAATGGCACATATCACACATCCATTGCACACATTATGATGCACGCACACAGAGTACACAGGTACACGGCACACGCAAACACGCACTCAAGTCAAGGCAGACAATACAGAAATGTTCGCATACGCAGACCCACAAAAGCACTGAACCACGCACATTAGACACAAGGACAGAATTCCGAAGTGGTTTTTGCTTCAGCATTAAAAGCAGCGAGTTGGTTTCTCGCTTCATATGGTTGTTGTTGGGAGACATTTTCCATTTTTGCTTATTGTGGTTTAGTGGTTGAAATCCAACGACTTAACAGCTAAAATTTAACTTGTTGCCCTTCCAACGTCAAGCAAGTTCAGAGAGTTGCTCTCAAGAACATAGGTGTCCTTTTTGGTTGTTTTGGTCGAAAAACCAAAAAGGATGGCGATTCCTGGTTTCCCTGGTGGTTTTTTTCTCATCTACCGCGGATATCCATCTATTTCCGACCTAAAAGGACACCTATGCTCTCCAGAAGCTTTTTCGGCGGTGAGGCGAAAACAGCCTGCTGGGCCGGCTCGTGGCGCTGGGGAATCGCCGGGAGGACTCGGATGAGGAGCGAAATCGCTCGCTGAGCATGGCGCGTGGGCGCCACTTGCTGCCTCGGCGAGTTCGGTGCGGAATCCACTGGTTTGGGTGTGCGAGTAGATTCCCTTTTGGCGCAAAATATCCTGATGAGAAGTGGGGGGGGTTGAACAAAAAAGTTGGCGGGGAGCAAAACATCCGGATGATGAGTTGGTGGGCTTGAACAAACAAAAGGTCCAGTCTCTGACCTTTTTCCCTTTTGGCGCAAGAGATGATGACAAGTGGGCTTGAAAAAAGAGTGTATAGATCCCGGCAGCCACTCACCAAAGTGGGCTTGAACGCAAGAACTGTCCGGCGCCTGACCCTTTGAAACGGAACACGGGCAGTGTCTTGAGCCGGTTGTGAGGATCCCGAGGCGCAGCTGGAGGATTTAATCGACACGCCTGGACCTTAAAACGGAAGCCGAAAGAGCCTGTCCTTCTATTTGCTTAAGAATATTGAGTTTGTTTTCCCCTGTTGGTTATCACTACTGGAAAAATAGAATATTGTTTATGTTCTCGTGTTGGTTTTAAAAGGAATCTATCACTACTGGATGTGCTTCTTTGGTTTCCAGGGAACTTCAGCAAATGGATATATCAATTCGTTCAAAAAATCCAAGTGTGGTTAGGTCACGCACACATTCCGTAAGAAAACCTTGGAAGTGCCAGTGTTTGAGCAACCTTAGAAGTGCCCGTTTGCAACGATTGAGGCGCACATGTGTTGCGCTGGTCATCTACTTGGGTGTGGCGCGCCTGCCTTGTGCATTGCGTGCGCTTCGTATCTCAATTGGGCCGGTTGAGATCCATCATGCCCCTGACCTGGCGAACTATATTTCTATATGACCGGTCTATTTTTGTCCCATAGTCCTTGGATGGGAGGCCAGCGAGAGGCTTCCTTGGATGGCCTTTGGTGCTTTGGAGCAAAAAACAGGGGTTGATCCAAAGAGCTGTGCTCCCAAGAAGCAAGCAGCGCTACTGTGCATGGTTGCGAAATCCAGAAATCGCACCACCTACGAAGCCCATGACACACCGTTGTCTGTTGGTATTTACAGGGGAAGAATGATTTTTAGGTTTCTTGAGGTGGTGCGAAAGGGATGTCCTCCATCCACGGTATGTTTACTTAGGGCTTGCCATTCGGGGCGTAGTGCCGTTTCCCATTTGGGGCTCAGGCCCGAAGCCTGAAGGAATCAGCGAATTTTTGTATGTAGCCCCTTTGGATTGGTTCGGGGAGTTGAACTTCTTGTAGAGGGCCAATGGGAAGCCGTTTTTTTTGTTTTTAATCGTGGGAAGCTGAACTCTGGAAGCACAGGTCTAGGGGTACCTTCCATTTCCATTCTTTCCAGGGATCCTTCTTTTCAGGAAACCATCAGAAACCCAGGGGGAAACAGATCCGGTTTTTGAAAAGAACGATGGTTGAAAAGAATGGACATGGACTCAACCCCTAAAACAGGGCATCCAAAACCGCCCAAGCGATCAAAGCCGCGCGTTCTGACCTTGGCAGCTCAGCATCGCCATCGTCGTCGCTTGTGTGCTGATCGTCACTCAGGGGGCCGGGGACCTGCAAACGCGAGTCGCGCATTGGGCATGCTCAGGCTGTTGGCACACCTTGTGTCGGTGTGTGCCAGGCTTTGTGTGGATGTGTGTGTGTGTGAGTGTGAGTGGGAGTGGGAGTGTGAGTGTGTGTGTGTGTGTGTGGGATTGTGATTATGATTGTGATTGTGCTTGCTCGTTTGCTTGTTTGCTCGTTTGCTTGCTTGCTGGCTTGCTTGCTGGCTTGCTGGCTTGCTTGTTTGCTTGTTTGCTTGTTTGCTTGCTCGCTCGCTTGCTTGCTTGCTGGCTGGCTTGCTTATCTGCTTGTTTGCTTGTTGCTTGTGCGTTTGTTTGTTGAGCGCTTGATTTGGAAACACCCCTTTCACCAAGAGGGAACTGATGCTTGCCCTTTCACCAACAGAGAAATGGAGCTGTTGGCCTCTCCAAACGGAAAGCAGTCTCAAGAGTCCTAGCAGTCGAGTCATGTCTCTTTCATCAAGGATGTTGGAGCAGACGAGAGAGACACCACTGAATACGCAGTGTTGTGCTTAAGAAAGTAATCCACTCCTTAAAATACAGACCTCCTTTCCCCCCAAAAAAAAACAACAAGGAAAGGCGCAAGCAAACATGGGGAACATATGTTGTTTGTTATCAAGCGTGCCCAGTTCTAGGTTTGGGGTGCCCAGTTCCAGGTTTGTGGTGAACAGTTTTCGCAAGAAGTAGTGCTTGCTGACAGGGCAGGGCTCCTCCAATAAGATTGGGAGAGAGGTCGGTGGGAGAAATCGCTAGTTGAGTATTTAGTATTGCCACATTCAGGTCTTGGAAGAATATGTTTTCTGAGTAGGGGGACCTTGATTGATAGGGGGATTGATAAAAATGGGACAGGGCACTTGCATGATGCTCGGCATGTTGAGTGGTGTTTGATTTCTGGGCAGCAATGTCCTGGAAGCGTCATATATTTGGAGCGAGGCGTAGGAATGCCAACGTTAGACATTCTCGTAACAGAAGTATGTACTGCGTTCTATGTTCTGTCATCCCATCTTCAGCGACCAAGCGCATGGGTGTCCATCAAGACTAGGATCCCTGTGGGAAATTACATGCTGAAAGGATACAGCCCTACCTATATGGCCGTGGGTCAAAAATGGGTACCCAAAATGGAACTCTGGCAAATAGAAACATGGACTGACACCTGTGGTCCCCTGGTAGTCTAATTTTGACCCACAGCCATATTGTGCCATTCAACATCGCGCGAGCGATTCGGCGATTTTTGTCCAGTTCTGGGCGGGCGACGTGGTGCTGTGCTGCATCATCGCCCTGTACCAGCTCTCAGTTCTTCAGGCCTCTTAGAGAAATGAGCCAATCAAAACCCGGGTAGATGATCCGGTTAGTAAGGGACAGTACCCTTGCCATAAATAGCTGCGGATATTCGCCTTCTTAATTCTTGAAGCATGGTTCTGGGTCGACCATTTGAATACCGGGTTTTGATTATGACTCAAATCGCATTGAGTGCTGTGCTTTTTTGGTGCCCCGACAGCTTGTGCTGCTGGCCATTCTTCGGCGGCGGGACACGGCCTTGGGCGTCTCACGACAGTCGGGGGCTTAGAGTTCTGAGGGTTTGCGTATTACACCCTGGGATTACACCCACTGGGTCCGGATAAAACCGTGTTATTTTGAACCATTCTGGGTCATTTCCCAAGGGTGTAATCCTAGGGTGTAATGCAAAACCAAGAGTTGACCTGCGCGCAGGGAGCCCTGGAACCAATGCCAAAACCCAGGCCGCCAGCGGAGGAAACCAACGTTCGGGAGATACAGATGCAGCTGCGGCCACTAGGACCGTGATGTCTCGGTGGCAAGAGGGTTCGGCAGATCCATGTTGCTAGAGGTCATAAGCGGTTAGCTAGCCATCCCAGGAGCCCTCAAGAGCATATGTGAGGGATGCATGGTCGTGGGACGATTGAGAGGTTGGTAGATGCGGGCAACGCCCCATGACCTTTGGCGGCTCATGCTCGCAAGATGTGTTCTTGAGCTGCAGGATGATGATTTCGTCGCTCCGTCTGCGAAGCAGCGGAAAAGTGGTATGAGTTGCCTAGCAGGTTGAATGCAACAGAGGAGCCAATGGGTGATACTGCCCGTGGCATGCATCATGTGATCATTGGCATCGATGTTTGATCCCATGCACCGCAGGCTGTTTGCAGCTCCCAATGGGGCCGTAGGAATGCTGTGACTGATGAATGTTTGCCGTGACCCCGGTCGATTTTCGCGTGAAGGCTGTTAAATGGCAAGCATCTATAGTCCCACGTTGCTGAGCTTGGACTAGAAAAGTGGGCTGCTGTTAGACAGTCCACGCTGACCCCTTGCATACCGGCTTCCTTTTGATCCCCTTCTGAATCCTTTTCTGTTGATGCTGCTGAGGCTTCCCTTTCAAACCTTCCAACATGAAGAAACAGCAGTATTGGATTGATGACCCTTCTCTGGAAAAGTTGATTGACCCATCCTACCCAGGTGGAAAAGAAAGGTTTGAAGACTTTGACACGCTGGCCAAAAAAACCAAGTCGTTTAGGATCAACATATTGTGGGGCCCGGGCAACAAAGCATTCCTTACAGCCGTACCGGGTAAGTGCTGTAAGTCGTCCCGGGTTGATCTAAGTCGTCCCGGGCGAGTGTGCCCGTTGTGTTTGTGGATGTAAGGATAGTTTTCTCAAGCATGTCATTTTCTGAAATCGCATAATTATGTGCTGTGCGCATGCAAAATGTATGATGTTCTACTCGAGGTATCCTGACAGAAAGGTGCCCATGAAATCCCAAATTCATAACATCAACATTTGGTCGGCTTCCATGTGCCGTGTGCATGCGTGTATGTTCACTGCCACTGGGTGGTTCTCTCTTCTCGTGCCGCAGCACTTGAAGTTGTGCCACAAGCGGAAGCAATCTTCATTGGGATGAGGGCACGGCTCACCCGGCGCCCGCGCGGCACTCGCGCAGAGTCGCGCGGCACTCGCGCCGGCAGCCCATTTGTATTTTCTGAAGTTTGAATGAGAGCGGGTCTTGGGTTTGTTTGGCGTTTAATTGGGGCTGGAAATATTTGAGCCCTTTAATTGCAGTGTGCCCAATAGGGTTTTG